CTCTCTTCCTGCTTAGAACAGACACACGACCCCACAGGACCACATTCAAGTGCAGCGCCTTCCCTGCCGTGGGTCCCCGCCCGCACCCAGTGCAGAGGGCAGAGGCAGCCCTCGGCCTGGACCGCAGCAAAGGGTGAATGAGGCTGGTGGGGAGCTGAGCTGGGAGCGGCCTCGGGAAGGGGGGGGTGCTTCTCCCATCCGGGGTGGACCCCACACCTGCCCGGTTTCCAGGCAGAAATCCCAGGAGCTGTTGGCCCTGCCAGAGCTCGGGGGACGTGGGAGGAGGCTGGAGGGGGTGAAACGAAGGGGCTGTGGGCTGTGCCTGTCCTTGCATGTCATGTGGAGGGCAGGGGTCTGGGTGTGGAGGGGCGAGGGGAGGGGAGGAGGGGCTCTGGGATGGCGCCCCATTGGAGCTGGGTGAGGTGGGCAGCACCACCTCCACCCACGCCCTCAGGACAGACCCTCTGCGTGAGCATAGCTGGGTGACCACCCCGGGAGGTGGCTGTCATCTGCCCGAGAGCCGTGGCTAGCACCGGGGGCGGGGAGGGGACCGCAGCGTAGCCTCAGTGGAGACTTGGGCGCTTGCTGGAGAGCAAAGAGGCCTCTGTGCAGGGCCTGCCCCAGGCTTCCTCTGGAGGGGCCCTGTGTCGCCAAGGCCTGCTCACTGGTCCTGCGCGCGGAGGGACCTCGAAATGGCAAGACAGGCCAAGGCACCCCCAGGCGGCCACCGCTCCCGTCCTCCTCCGTGACCAACGGCGCGGCGGCTCTGAGGGAGCCGGCATGGGTCCCCACGTGGCTGGCACCTGCCCACTAATCTGAAACCCTATCCTAACGCCCAGGGCATTGCTTTTGCCCGTGAGGCCACACAATCACATGGTTGAGAGAACTTTTAAACCACAAAAGTTCTAGAACAGGCGGCCTGATGGAGCCCGGCTTTGGCCTTGCACTGAGGTGCCTGGGCCGCTGCTCGGGCAGTTCTCTCCGTGCAGGTGCCAACCCGGCCTC